GATCTTTGCAGGACGGCGCCCCCCGGGAGTCCGGACCCATTCCCCGGGGGCTGGTGCTTCATCCCGGGTCGTTTGCTGACGTTCCCGAGGCCCGGCGAGGGCCCCCCCGAGGCCGAACTTGGCCAACAGCCTCCCGTCCGGGTTTTGTTTTACCCCCTGGCGCGGTCCTGTCTGCAGGGCTCCAGGAGCGCCACGGCACGGAAAAGGCCACGACTGCCTCGGTCCTCGAGGGGGTTGGGGGGCCGACTGCCCAGACCTCCGATAACTACGAGGAGAGGGTGCCGATTGCGCGGGCCCCCCCTGTAGGGTGAAGTCGGGCGTGTCCTTCTACAGGAGGCACATTCAGAAGTAGTAAAACAACAGTCTGGGGACGACTTTTTGGCCATCTTTGAGTTGTTGCTGGCGCCGGCGTATGTGCCTCCGTTTTGCATGCTGTTTGATGCTTCGTCCTCAATCCGCCTCTAGGAGGACGTGCCCGACCTAAGCGTAGGGCCCATATTGACCATCTTTGAGGTTTTTTTCTGGCATATTCTCCACATGCTTGATGTCTCGTCCCCAGCCCGCCTCCTTAGGAGGGCCGTGCCCGACCCGAGCTCAGGGCCCCGCCGCCTCGCCCAGAGGACTTCTGCGCTCGGCCCCATGGGGCCCCCCCGCGGGGTCCGTGGGGGGCGCCCCCCCCCCCCCCCCCTCGGATGCCGAGCGCGAGGGAGCCTTTTGGAGTCGGGCCCGCGCCTCCTAGAGAAGGAGTGGTCGAGCACAGCCCCCCCAAAAAATAGCCTGGCGGCGATGTCTCGTGGTTTTGTCATGCTCCTTTTGGAATATATTTCTTTGGCAATGTGTCCTTCTCCCCCCGGAGAGAAATCCGAGAGCGAGGAAGCACCTTTGAGTCGGGCCTGCCCCTTTACCGATCGGAGGTTGATAGACCTCCTACCCTGGCACGTCGATTCGCGAATGTGCCGTTTTCGGTTCGCGAGAGGGCGTCGCGGCCGTCAGTCCTGCGGGTCCAGGTCCGTCGGTTTCGGTCCCGGGTCGTTTTCACCAGAAAGGGTGGTTTACTTAAGGGAGGCTTGTCCACCGCCGAGCAGAAAAAGTGTTCAAGAACAGCCGAAAAGCGACGATGTTTCGCGCTTTTTTGCGGGTGTTTGAATACTTGTTTGACCATGTTTTATTCCCCCCCCCAAAAAAAAAAAAGCCTGTAGGAGGACATGCCCGACCTGCAAGAAGCACCGCCTGGGGCCGAATCAGACCACCTCGGCTCGTAGATCCGGGTGCCCCTCCGCCAGCGATCGACGATCCTCGGTGCCCCCCCTCCTCGGCTCGGAGATCCGGGTGCCCCTCCGAGACGCGAGCTCGCCCAGTGTGTGCTCACCCTGCTCCACTCCGCCGGCAGCACGCGGCCTGACCCAGCCCTGAGTTGTTGCACAGCTTGCCTCGTCCCCGAGATCCGACGTTGCGACACAGATGCAACGTCGCGGAAAAGCGCTGCAGTGGAGACCCAGGTCAAGGAGCACCCTACTCGCCTCCAGGGTGCCCTGGGTTTCTTGGGCTTCGATGGTTTTGCATGGAAAGCGCGACGCGCCCACAGCCAAAGTCAAGGGACGCCCTGGGGCCTCTTCTTGTTGAAGGTTTCTTGTGCACTCCTGCTGGAGATTCCTGGTGGACTGGCCTCCACTGTACCAGAGCCCTGGGCCCTGTCTCTGCTGCTGCATTCTTCGAGCCCGATCGATCTGTGATGGCCCCCGGGGGCCCGAAGCCGGGCGAGGACGCCTGGTGTGCTCCGGATCTCAGGGCCAGCGCGCGCACGCGCCGGCGCTGACGCACACCCTCCAGACGTGCGACGTCTTGGTGTTTGTCAGCGCGCGGTTCCCCGGGGGCATGGGCTTCATCCTGGGCAGGCTCTCGACGGCCCCTCGAGGGCCCCCCCCGACGTGGAACAATGGCAGAAGCCTCCCGTCGTGACCTGGGCTTCACCCTGACACACTGTTGCTAAGTGTGCGCGTGGCCCCGGCAGGGCGGCACGCGCGCTCGGACATCTCACAGCCGTGGCGAGAGTTTCATCCAGTGGTTGTGGCGAAGATCTCTCCCAGACCGTCTCTTGTGAGGAGAATCCTGGAGGCCTCGCGCGGCGCGTACTAGCCGTATCATCTAGTCCACACGTCAGTTCCGTAAGCTATGGGTCGACGCTCGCGCGGCGCTGCTCCAGTGTCAGTCCGACGCAAATCCGACGTAAATCCGACGTAGTCCGACGTGAACCCGACGTAAATCCGACGTGGACCCGACGTAGATCGGGTCTCAAGTTTCCGCGCCAGGCCTCCATGATTTTCCTCTTAATTTTTT